GAGGCTTCCAACGTGTGCGGACCACGTGGAGCCCTCAGGCCTATTGTCAGCCAAGTCTTAAGAGCCGTCGCCTAATTTCGTTAAATTAGGGATTTCCAGGATTCTCGTGTTCCGCGACACGAGAAGTCAAAAGAAAAAAGGTACAGCAGTCAAACATGCTGAAGGCATGGAGCGGGAAGTTCCGATGCCGAATTGTTCGACCCTAAGACCTGGCTGTTGGAAGACCGTAACGGGTCTTCTTTGTTCCACGACGGAACATTAATGACTTTGTAAACGAGACTGTATCGTGTGTTTTTATATATACATACACAATGATATCGAAATCGAAACTTCATTCTTAACGATAAATATTCTTCCTCGTTAGAGAATACTCGCAGACACAAAAGCTATCCTGCTCGTGAGAATTCAATTGCCGACTCCTCAACATAGCTGAGTTTATTTCGAACATACTTTAACTCGAGTATAAACGTATCCAAAACGGAAACTGCATTCTTAACGAGGATCTTGACCTGGAAAGCTCGCCTAACTGGAACGTGTTGGCTCATTTCTAATCCAGGGAACCATCGAAAAAGCGGTCACGTCGGTATCGAATTCCGGCGTTCCTTGGCCGGTATCTCCGGGTAAAGAAGCCATTTCTAGGAAGTTTCCAAGTTCTTTCGCAACAAGTGCCGCGAATTCTTCGACTTCGCGGAAATCACGGACCCCGATACCGATTCTTAATGGACACCGCTTATATTCAACGTGTTCGCTGGTCGCTTTTAAAAGAAAAGGGTGGGCGTGAGATAGAGACAAGAAATCAAAGAACATGCATCTTGGAATGACTTAGACGCAAAGTCGTCCTTTGATAATTTCCTGCAATATTTGCTGGAAGCTGTCCTTTGATAGTACGCCACGACATCGAGTGTACAGGGACTCGCTTATGATGGAGATTCTGATAGGCGTCATTTGAATAATTTCTAATTTAACGTTTATAACATTTGTCGAAGGTATTACCAATTGCTTTACGTAAATAAGATAAAGTATAAGCCTATGCACATGCAGCTATTGCGATATTTCGAGGTGGGACTAAACCTTTGCACTCGAGAGGCACCTCTCAGTCGCCATTTAATCACATTCCAAAGATCGATGTTAATTAATATAATAAATCTAAAATTACTCAACGATGCGTGGAATGTGAAGGTAAAATAATTCCATGTCTTAATTTGCATACGATTTCCTATTTACCGTTCTAAAAATATCCTCCACTTTATGGCAGAAAGTCTTCGAATCACTATTTTCCTGTGACGAAGAAATTGCCGAGTGCAAAGGGCTAAAAACGTCCCACCGTGCATTATGGCGCGTCAAAAAGGTGGGACATTTTTAATCTCAGCGTGCACCAAAGAGTTAATTGACGTTGAGAAAGAATCTTTGTGCTACTGTTATATTTGCCCCATGAAACTCTGCATTTATCCTGCTAAAAATATTTTTATATTAGAAATAAGAGAGATGTTTATAAATACATCCAAGGTAAATAGAAATACCTTGGGTATATAATAGGGATATCATACTATTGTCACTTTATCAAATTTGTTGAAGCTACGAATAAAGGAAGACGAAACTCGAAAAATCGAATAGTTTGAATGAAATCGACCGAGAACGTGGAATTTGAACGAAGATCTGCCTACTCGATTTCTCCTGAATCATTAGGTTTCTCTCGAACCGTTCGGTCCAAATTTCGAATTACTAGGACAGACTAACAATTTCGACACGCCCGATAAGAATCAGACGTTTATCACCGTCCAAATATCACAGTGTGAATAAGTTTTCACTGTTTTCCTTCCGACAGCGCGTATCGCAGCTCGGATAACCGACGTCCACCATGGCGCAAGGTGATAGTTCCAGACGCGCCGCATAGAGAGCGCTGGGGTTGCCAGCATGCAGTATAAACAAATCAACGGTATATTTACGCTCGGAGAAACGTTCCTAGATAATCGACCGACAAATTACGGCAATTGCGTGTTGGTAAGAGATTATGTGAACTCGCAAGTCATGCTGACAGAGCAGTATTCTTCGGAGATATCGAGAAATAAATAAGTGTGGAAACTAGGCTCGCCGTGAACACATACATTGCTGCTGTTCTCTCGGTTCTGTTCGGAAGCAAAGATTCACGTTCGTGAACATTGTCTAGGAAGACAAGTTTGAAGCTTAATAGCCATCGAGTTATACACGATGACTTGGCCAGTGATCGAGACAGTTGGATTAGCAGTTACTTTATTGGTCCTGCTGTATTATTACTCGAAATCGAAATTAGAGTATTGGCATAAACGAGGCATCAAAGGACCAAAGCCGTTACCTTTTGTTGGCAACTTCAAGGATGTATATCTGGGAAAAGCCTGCGTAAACGAATGTTTCGAGAAAGCGTACTACAAGTTTAGAGATGAGCCAGTGGTTGGACTGTACGTTGGACACAAGCCATTGCTGTTACTGAGGGATCCGGATATTATTAAGACTGTTCTCATTAAAGATTTCCCAGTATTTGTTGACAGGACGTTCCACTCTCTGCCATCGGTATGTAATATTGTACTGTGCATACGTAACAATCGTGTATTATTATTTTGATCACATCAACGTGATATTTGCAACTGATCCACGTAACATGGGGAATTTATAGTAACGTTAAAAATGGTACCTGAGATTTTACCTTCTACAATGTTGTATATTTTGAGGCGTGAAGATAAGTAAATCCGCCATTTTTCTTTTATTTTTGCACGATTAACCACGAATCTTTGCTACCAATTTGTGAGTAAATGGATAAACTAATAAGAAGATTTATTTAACGCAATAACAGCACAATTGTTTCGTGATAAACTATATTATTGCTTCTACTATCTAATAAACCTAGAATAGATAATAAACGAATATGTCGATAAGTGTTTCCTCCAAACCAATTTGTTTAGTAGTTATAAGCACTTGTGCCACACAACCATGCTGTGCCAATACTTTTATCCCGCACTGTACATAAATCTTAGAGAAATCTTTGCGTTCATACAAGATTCATATGCAATAATAGAAATTAGATGACGAAGGAATTTGTTTTCCGTGTTCTTAACATTTTATTCTGCCTACGTTAAATCGCGTAGAGTCCTAAGGATTCCTAAAAACATCCTTGCGTATTTCACAGGTGGAGCCACTATCGGAGCATCTCTTCCTACTGGAAGCATCAAAATGGAGGCCCCTAAGAGCCAGACTTTCGCCCGTTTTCACCTCCGGCAAGCTGAAGGAGATGTTTCACTTGCTGGTAGAGTGCGCGGACCACTTTGAAACGTATCTGGACAACTTAGTGAAGAAGGGCGAGTTCATCGAGTGCCGTGACATCGCTGCGAAATACACCACCGACGTGATCGGTTCCTGCGCCTTTGGCATCGAGATGAACTCATTGGCTCCTGAAGACAGCGAGTTCCGTCGGATGGGCAAGATGGTCTTCCAAACGAGCTTCAAATCGATGATGAGGGACAGACTGAGGGATTTCCCGTGGTTGTACAAGATCTTTGGACCATTCACTATCGATCGACAGGTCGACGATTTTTTCACGAGGATCACCAAGGAGTCTATAGACTACAGGATCAAGAACAACGTGCGTAGATGCGATTTTGTGGACACTCTGGTGGACCTAAAGGAACATCCGGAGAAACTTGGACAGGAATGTAAGATATTTTTGAATTCCTTTTTCCTGGGTTTGGGGCTCCAAGTGGAGCTTGTAGCGTCCTACGGTATCGAATCTCTTCGATTTCCAAGAACGCTTATCACGCGCCAAATTAATATTGCGTGACTAGTTGTGATAATAAGGATCCAGAATGTGTGTAGTCAAAAGAGAGTGTTTATTTAGAGAAAAGCGTAGAATAGTTATAACGTAGACGTTGAACGGAGTACCGTTTCGAACACGCGTTTGTATGTGTAATTGAGATGTTTTAAGGATCGGTGCCGAAGACGAACTGACTTCTCGATTTTGCTCTATGTCCTGTCTCGTCGTGTTCGGTCCGGTGTTTTCTCTAGTTTAGTTCTGATTGGGTAAAATAGATGTTGGTGATGGAAAGGTAAAGAGTTTTAATTGGACAGAGGGTGTGACATAAGGACCTTTGGCTAAGGAGTAGGAAACTGTCAAGGAGCCGATTTCTGATGGTCAATGACGTGATTTATAAGTGCCGTCCGCCGTCGCTTGTTGGGTCTGTCACAAGTGGGTCCCATCTGTCGCGTCTGGTACTAGTAAAATTCCTAATTTTGCGTTACCTTTATAAGCTTAATCCGCTAGAACGGTGTTGAGGCACATCGAACCTCCGGAATTGCAGTCGCGGTATAAAATATAAAATAAACCGTTAGGTCTGCTTAAGGGTAAGCCTTAATTATAAAATCATATTCTAAACACGCTCTCCGGGACGGAACAGAGCTATTTTGGAGTCTTTTGAGAAGAAAAAAGTGAGGTTATGCCTATAAAGTGTTTCGAAACTATAGTTCATTCGACTCTGCTAGTGTTATTACAGAGTCTGTAATATTGGAAAATAAAGGAAGGAAAGTTACTGTGAAAATTGTAGAAATAGATTCACACATACGTATGATGTTTTCTTTCCTCGAAATGAATTCAGTTAATTTATTATCAGTAATGAAGAAATAATATTTTATTTGAATTGAAAAGAATTTTTTATTTAACACTAGAACTACCAGCACAGTGAAAATAACTGGTCCCAGAATTTTCCTTTTTGCAATCACCGAACACATACACCTGCTTTAAAAATAAAAATGGTATCAACTCATAGAACTCAAAGAACTGCAATCAATATATTCACTCGTATTCATCGAAATTACTATAATCTGTGCACATTATAGTTAGGTACCCATTAAAGATCGGTAGTTCTAGTGTTAAAATTATGTATGCAAATTTGGTTCAGCTTTAATTGTAAGTTAAGTGACTCACTATAAGATTATAATTTTATAAGATCCATTCATTACATATTACATATATATTTTATTACATATATTTTATTTACATTATTACATATATATGTAATAATTAAAATCGAGATATAATGTATAGTGTAATACAAATTTAATTGAAAGTAATCAACAACACAGAAATTTTCGAATTTTTTCTTCTTTCCTTGAGTTTAAGGCTCCACGTGGAGATTTTTTAGTGGTTTGTTGGAAAGAAAAAGGCGAAGTCATGACTGCATAATGTTTCGAAACTATAGTACTTTGGACTCAATTAATGTAACTGCAAAGTCGCTACTAATGAGAGATAACGGAGGAAAAATTACTATGATAAATCGATTAGGACCGACAAAGTGTTTTTACTGTGAGATAAGACAATTTTATATCCATTAGATACATAACGCTGTGTACGCAGTTGCAGACGATACGTTCTTAGCGGCGCAGGCCTTCGTTTTCTTTGCTGCTGGATTTGAAACGTCATCACTGACGATTGGCCATTTATTAATCGAGCTTGCGAAAAGCCCATCGATTCAGGAGAGAGTTCGAGCAGAAGTTTTGGAAGTTCTGGCAAAACACAATGGCGTGATCACGTATGACAGTATAAAGGAAATGAAATATTTGGATGCATGTTTCCAAGGTATAATATACACAATATTTAGAGAGTATACTGTCATATAATAAACAGTATCAATTATAAATCTAATAAGTATTATAGAAGAGATGATATTGTTTAAAAATTTCGAATTAATTAAAATTATAAATAAGGTTTAAAAGTGATTTTAAATATCAATGTGATTTTAATTGAAATATCGTATGCACATTAATAGCATTTCCGTTAATATGTTAAATAATTTTTCAATTTTCAATTCAAAATATAAGAGAAATAGCAAGTTACTTTTCGATACGGTTTCTAAAATATTCAGTTATCATTCTATACGAATGACAACCCACTATAGTGATTAATACGTATGTAATTAAATAGGTCAAATATATTGAAATATCGATGAGTTCTAATTTTTCTTTTATAGAAACTTTGAGAAAGGATCCACTGTTGATGTGGCTATCGAGAAAAGCTTTACGGGATTACACGTTCCCCGGAACAAAAATTAGCATAGAGAAGGGCCAACAAGTCTACTTGCCGGTTCGCGGGATTCAAAGAGATCCGGAAATTTATCCAGACCCGGATAAGTTTGATCCTGAGAGATTCACCAATGAGCAAGCCAAAACCAGACATCCTATGTTCTACTTGCCATTTGGGGATGGACCCAGAAATTGCATAGGTATAGCATGCTTTTCCCTCACTACCTTATATATATATTATTTTTATTAATATCGTTATCATTATTATTATTGCAATTTTATATAATGCAATAAATAATAATAATACAATAGTAATAATGAAATACAATAATTATAATGCAATAGTAATAATAAAATAGAATTATTTAAAATAATAATATAATTAATATTGAAAAATTGCATTGGTACTGCATGCTATTCCCTTACTACGTTATATATATATATTATTTTTATTAATATTGTTACTACTATTATTATTGCAATTTTATGTAATGCAATAAATAATAATAATACAAATAGTAATAATGAAATACAATAATTAGGATGCAATAGTAATAATAAATATAATATAATATAATTATTATTAAGAAATTGCATTGATACTACATGCTATTCTACCTCTCTCTCTATATATATAAACAATATATATATATGTAACACAGTAGTAATGTAAATTATTTCTTATATTCTCATTATTTTGTATAACATAATAAATAATAATTGTAATATAATAATAACGTTATTACAATAATTGCTTTAATTATTATATTATAGTTATTATGTCATGAAATAGCTTCTAATATTAAGTAATATAATTTTTCAATAATTATTTACATATATATTTACATAATGAAATAAGGTTATGCATATATTACGTGTATACTAATTTATATAAATTATTTATAAAAACTGTATATTACTAATGATAACTACATTATGCACTTCATATTCGTGAAATAATTTGGAATAATTTTTCATTCAGGTGCAAGATTTGCAAGATATCAATCAAAGGTGGCACTCATCACTGTCTTATCGAAATTCAGAATCGAGGAATGCGAGAAAACCTTTAAAGAATATGACATAGACAAGAAGTCATTGTTCTTCCTGCAGCCAACACACGGATTGTACGTGAAGATGACTAGGCTCGAGGCATAAAAATCCTTATGTTTTACTTATTTGTAATGAAACTGGCGATATAATGAAAATAGTGAAAACGATGGTATTTTACTTATCTGTCTCTGACTTGGCATTATGCAACATATCATTAGCTACCAATGTTTGTTAAAACGGGTTTTCACGTGGTATAGTTTTAATTGACAGCAGAATTCATACATACATGAATATTATTATACGATTATATTAGGTTTGCAGATTTTAACGCATACAACTGTCTTGTGCACACTGAGATCTATGTAATGCTTGAAATGACAGTAATTATTTATTTATGGAATAGTTTACTATACCTGATCAATCCTACAGGGTCATGAAAATAAATGTAGTTTCTGCATATTTATACCTTCTTTCATCAATAATACACAATGCAGTTGAATATTAACCCTTTGCACTATTAACATCTTGCCCTAGGATTTAAGTTCCGATAGCGTGTACCATAATCAACGGCCCTGACGATCCCACGTCGAGTAATCTCGTCTAAACACGACGAAGAATAACACTTAATTGAGATAGAAAGACACAGATAAAAATTTCCCACGAGCATGATAGCTATTATTTACACAGGCCCTATCTACGAATTACGTCACTCACCCGTGACACTCATGTTTGACCAGATATCCTTACCACGAGTCTCACACGATATTCTAGGCTAAGGAATGGATTCTGTGCTTTTAGATTTCATTTTGATAATTCCCTATAAATATAGGTATTTTGTTTTAAATGTTCCTCCATTCTTAAAGGAATGATTCATTGATTGAATGCACTTTAAACAAATTTGTGTTATTTATTACGTTGACAATAACATTGGAACTTTGCAGAGATGCGATGTTCACAGAATTTCTAGATTAGACTGAATGAAACTGAAGTTGCTGAAGTTACATTCGACAAAATGTAATAAAACCCGAAACGAACGAACAATCCCACTTATGGGATTCTAACGGGGTTCACTAATGTAACGACGCAACAGTCAGCACTGGCCGAATATTCTCTAAACGTAAAACACTCTAACGACGCTATTAAAAGAACTACCTCAATGACTATCTCAAATGTCTCAATGATCAACTCTCTCAACTATCAACTGTCTCGCTATCTTCCAGAGCGGGCCCTTTTGAGCCCGTCTGGATGGCAAGGACTTCCCCCGAAGGAGGTGAAAACTCCCCCCACGTAACGCTCTGGGGTGGAAAGGATTCCTCCTCCAGGTTAGGCTCTTCGAAGGGTCACCCACGCGGGGACCCTTCCCGAGAGGTGCCCGCGGGCGCGTTACCCCCCAGTTTACAATGGGGAAAACCGGGTGTATATCATCAATAGATCGTCCTCAATTGGCGACGATTAATGACGAACTAAATTTCTTGAGGAACGTGGTGTTTATAGTGGACTGTATTTTATGTAGTAGTTTCGGATAACTCTTCTGAACTCTTCGAATGTTATTTGCTGACTGACTGGTACTGACCTAACTAACTTGTGCGATGCACGATCTTTCGGAGCCCATGGTTTCCAAAGGGAAATCGGTTTTCCCATTGGTGGTTGACAGGACCGAGGGTGGGCCCTCGGTCCGCGAATCAGATGCCCCCAAAGAAGGGAGGACCGTCTTCCGCGACCAGGTCTGCCGGTGGAGGAAGCCTCTCCCTCAAAGGGGGTTGCTGGTGGGCCACCCGCACATTCGTGATCCTTCCTGAAGGACCCGTTACTTTATGGCTCCAAAAGTCGCGACATCACACATGGCCTGGTCCCTTTCTTTGCAGGCCTATTGTCAGCCAAATCCCAAGTGCTGTTGCCTGCTTTCTAACATTAATGGCTAAAGAATGCCTCGTGTCAGGTGACCCGCGGGAAATAAAGAATTGTTTGAAATGCATTGAAAATGAAGATAGAAAGGACACGGATTAATTCGAGGGTCTGTAGGCCTTAGTCGTCCTGGGCAGCAGCGCGTGCACGACCGGGGTATGAGTCCTGTAGCCGGACATTGCATATGGGTCTACGGTCAGACCCCATGAGATGATTAATTTCTTCCCCATGTGGCAGGGGCCTGCGTGACCGGCTACAGGGCCTCGCTAGGGACCCTCGGCTTGATTTTGGGTGTTTCGTTGGTTCGTCGATCGCTCTCGTTCTCGAGTAAGTCATGGCAGGGTCTACGGTGGTTGGGTGGGCTAGGTTCAGATCGGGAGGATGCCAAGGCACGAAGTTGTCTTGTACACGGAAGTACGTCTCGTAGGCTAGTCGGTCTTTCGAATGATCGCGAATTCGATCGGGCGCGATCGCGATTTTTAACTTGCTCGCGTGTTTGATATTTCATTCCCTGTTTTTATGGGAACTTGAAAATATCTTAGCGTTGCGATAGTAGAGTTTTATTATACCGAATCGAAATCCCCTTTGTAAGACTCGAAATAAAATAATATGTCAATAGCTTCGCTTTAACTTCTTTCGCTCCAAGTTAGATTAGGGTACCTTTGATACTGATAGCATCAGTAGGTTACGCCACTAGGGCGCATGTCTGGGTCTCGATGCGTAGCCACCTCCACGTGGTGAGACCTGGTAATTGGTATCGTTTTCGAAAGAATAATCTTTTTAAAACGATACCAAGCTAAGAGCTACGCACAAAGTTTAAGATATTTCCTACCTTTTGTAAATTTTCGATGTTTCAGTTAAACATTTGACGATTTCTGGACCTGCGAGAGGTAAGTGGATGGAATTCTTGGCGATGACGTCATTCAAATACAGTTATAGTTCATAAAAATGTATAAATAACCCAATTTGTTATTAATAATAAATTGTTCATAGCGTAAATTTATAATACAAGTCGAAAAATTACTAAATTATAGGTTATTACTAGTATATACAACGTATTTGCGTGAAAATGTATCTATAATTAGCAAAAAGTTAATAAATAACTACATTTATTGTTAATAACAAATATTTTGCAACATATATTAACGATAAAAGTAAAAAAAGTTAATATTTTATTAGCTACTACTTAAACAAACAACGTATTTGCGTGAAAATGTATCTATAATTAGCAAAAAGTTAATAAATAACTACATTTATTGTTAATAACAAATATTTTGCAACATATATTAACGATAAAAGTAAAAAAAGTTAATATTTTATTAGCTACTACTTAAACAAACAACGTATTTGCGTTAAAATATATTCGTAACTTACAAAAAGCTAATAAATTAATAAATTTATTGGTAATAGCAAATTAAAATTGTTGATAACAAATAGTTTGTAACGTATATTAACGATAAAAGTCAAAAAAGTTAATAAATTATTAGTTATTACAGCGGAAATGTAACTTTTAAAGGAATCGGTAAAGTTCGGAAATTTTCGCCGACCTTCGGCCGGCCGCCGCTATATAAGGGGCCCACGCGAAGGCTCGAGCCAGTTGTCGATCCGACTTCGGAGGGTCCGCGTTAATATTTTTTTTTCAGGTACTAATTATTTTTTGTTTCAGCTTTTAATTATCTTTCTTCTTTCAGATTCTATTTCTTTTATTCTAGACTTCATTGTTTGTGCATTCGAATATTTTGTACAATATTCGAATGCTTCGTCGTTGGTTTATTTGTATATCATCGTTGGCTTGATCAATGGCTATTCAATGGCCATTGTCTACTCTCTTGAATAATTTAATAATAATTCCTTCTTTCAGGTACTAATTATTTTTTCTTTCAGGTTTTAATTATCTTTCTTCTTATCTATTTCATTTATTCTAGTTTTCATTGTTTTTGCATTCGAGTACTTTGTACAATATTCGAATGCGTCGTCGTTGGTTTATTTGTATATCATCGTTGGCTAAATCAATGGCTATTCAGTGGCCATTATCTACTCTCTTAAATAATTTAACTATAATTTTTTCTTTCAGGTTCTAATTATTTTTCTTCTTCCAGATTTTATTTCTTTCATTCTATTTGTCTATTTGTTTCAGCATTCGAGTATTTCGTATAATATTCGAATGCTTCGTCGTTGGTTTACTTATGTCTCATCGTTGGCTAAATCTTTCCTTTCACAAATTTTACGACTTCCG